TTGCATCTTTTCGGGCCTGCTACTGCCTCTAGTGGCGTGGGGGAGGTAACACAATTAATATAATTACATTACTAAATCAGAATACCGCAAAGTCTTTATTATTTATTATACCTTTTTCATTCTCTTAAGAATGTAGAGCTAATTAAATGATCTAAACAAGACTTTAAAGTAGTTCCAGTTTCTCTCGATGGCCAACCTGTTGAAACTGGCAAATTTGGGTCATTCATGGACAGTCAGCTCAACTTAGCTGAAAACACTGACTACATTTTGAAGAACTGTTCTCAGAGACTCTACCTTTTAAGAAGACTTGGTGATCTTCTTAAAGTGACCTAACTAGACTCTAGTTGGGTCACCCATATGTCTTGAATTTTGAAAAAAAAAATAATTTTATTTATCACAAAAGAAGGGTTCAGTGAATGCACATATGAATCTGATGGGTTCGGTACCTCAAAAAAGGTTAAGAACCACTGGGCTAGATGAAACGGAAAAATGATAAACAAACTGAAGTTGTTTTCAATTGTCTTTGATGGAAAATTATCACTTATATTTAAATATTTGTCATCATGTAAGTGGGGTGTGTTTGGAGCTTTACGTTGCATTCACACCAGCCCTGATTAGTCCGCTTTAATCAAACTCTGGTTCTTTTAGAGAATCCGGTTTGTTTGCGGAGATGCAAATGTGTAATCAAGCTCTGAGGCAGACCAAAAGACTGAAAGTGAACTCTGGTGCATTCAAATCCAAATGTGAACGCCAAGCGGACCAGAGACTGCTCCAAAAGCAGGAAATGGACTACAGTGCAGGGTGCTAAATACAACCAAAACAAATGCATTAGCCTAGCACTAACGGGAGAAACGTCATTGTGGTCTTTCACCAGAGACAAAAGAGAAATCATACAACCCCTGAAATCTGACGCCACTCCATTGTTGTTTACATTTTGTGAGGAAGGAAGTTGTGGTCAGTGTCTTCTTCGGAAGTTTCAGTATATTTTCCTTCAGTAGTTCCCGGTGCAGCGCCACCACAGGCGAGGAGAGGAACAGATTTTTCAGTTTGGATTTAGTGTGAAAATGAATCAGTGTCAGCTGAAAATATAACAAATGTAAGTTTGCTACAATGAAATGAGCTCAGTTTTTTTATTGTGGTTTAAATTTGTTGTGGAGAAACTATACAAACATTAAAAATGTAATAGACACTCCTTGTAGTGAAATATCCTAATTTAGTTTTTATACTAAAGTTGTGTTTTTTCTATTTTAGTGATAATCTGCCTTTCTGCTTTAATGAAACTGTTCCATGTCCTTGTTTTTGTTTCTATACCACCAAATGCTATAACAATTCTAAAATAGTGAGTATTTATCAGCTCTAAGAGTGTGATCACTTTCTGCTCCGGTGTTTAGTGCTGCCCTTAGCAATCAGCTGAGAAAACAATGATTTGCAACATGTACTATAAACTGGTATCGTACACGTAATCAGACCGAAATGTGCAGAACCTGCAAAGACAAGCCTGAGGAAGTCCACTGAGCCTTTCTAAATACATTATTATACACGTGATTGTAAAGTTGTATCTACAGCTAGAGCAGAATAAACACATTTTAATGTTATCCAGTAAGAGATCTATTTAAAAAAGTTATTTGAAAGCAAACTGTAGTTATTTTAACAAATATATTTTGTGATATTTATAGTAATTGTAACTTTAAAAAATAAAAGGTTAATTGCATTTCACAAATAAAGAATTTCTCACAAACCTACCAGAATCATCAGATTGTTGAGATATTTTCATCTTTGAAAAGATTTTGTCACTAACTTCAGTTTCATACATTCTTTTTAGCAAGAAAAGAATGTATGAAACTCATAACGGGAAATGCTGCAAAGCTGAAGAAACGGTAGCTTTTTCTTTTTTCTTTTCATGAAAATTTCTCATTCTTCCCTCCTGCTTATATTTCCAGCCTTTTGTGCAAAATGTGATTTATTCACTGCTTCATAGATTTTCAGATTCCAGAAGAGCTTTTAACAGGCTGCAAACCTTTAAAGCTTCTGTCGGAAACGTCCTGTCCAGACAAGTTACCTAGCCTGCATGTTACTCATTAAAAAGCAGAGCAACATTAACTCCATGTAGTTTTAACTGCAGGCATTTTGCAAGAATATATTATAGGTGTAGAGCTAAAGCTTAAGTGAATTATGAAAACATAATGCTGACGTCATCAATGTGGGGAAGCTGATCATTCTTTAAAAGATTGAAATGAAAACAAAAGGGTGCAATAGAGGAAAAGTCAAGCATGAAAATCCACAACAAATATTCTAAATTTAATTTCTAAAGATGTCAAGTTCTTCTTTACGTTTTGTCTTCATTTAAAGAGAGAACTGATTTTTGTATGCTAGTTCTTTAGGGAGATTTTGAAGGTTATTGGCTTCAATATTTGCTGAATTTATTCAGCTGCTCAGCAAATTTTCTGCATCTTTTTAAGGGAAAAGCACCAAACTGCCATCAGCTTTAACATGCAACTGGAGTTTTACTGTTCTTTACATTTTACTGTTCAGAGAAAACCTTTAGCTTCTGAAACATCATTTGATTTCTATCTCTCTCTAGATCTATGTTTGTATCCAGTTCAGCTAATATGTGATTCTTGCATGTAGGCCTGTTATAGAATGAATAAATTCATTTATTAGTCACTGAATAAACTTTCTTTTGCATTAGGATTATGATTTTTGATATAACCTCTGATAATTTTTTAACAAAAGATAGGAAATAAATGCAAGTGAGAGGTTTCTTTTTGTTGGTCACCTGGTTATATATTTTCCAACTGATTCAGTTTGATGACCTGTTTGTCAACAAAATCCTGCCCAGATTGTTTTCCAATTTATTTGCCTTAAATTCAGCTTTTCTTATAAAAAAATAAAAATAAAGGAAAGCTTTTGATTTCATAACTGTTTCTTACTTGTTAAAGGATCTGCAAATCTGCACTTTATCCACACTGAAAGTCTGTCCCAAATTTAATTAGTAGATCTGTGCTATAAGACTAGATTTTCTTTGCTGTGCAAAAATAATGAAAAAATTCTGAATCTGAGGAAAAATCTGTCTCCATGTGGACTTGAGAAAGTAATTTTAGAGGCTGGAGTGGTGATCACTGTGGAAATGTCCAAATTCCTCTGAGGTAGATTTTTGTGAAAATGTTATTTATTTTTTTAAATGAAAATATTTTTAATTGTTTTTTTCAGCATGTGATAAATTACAACTACACATAGTGAATATCAACCACAAAAAAACACATGCTCTCCTTTTTCTCGTTATTTCCCAATACATTTTGCTTTCAATTCCTGTTTTCTTTGCGCTGAACTTTCTTCATTTTCAGCATTTATTCAGTTTTAGTAAATAGTCCCCACAATAACTGCTGTTGATTCCTTGTACTATAAAGTGCATAATTTCCTTAGCCAGCATCTAATGAACCTAGATAGTCATAAAAATGCTTGAATTAGTGGAGTACAGTGGGATCATATCATATGATATGCAAGTTCTGACACATGTCACATGTTGAAGGAAGTGAAAATGAACCTGATCAGTTGACTGAAGAGAAAGAAATAAACCTGGTTTGCTGCATTTCTTCTGTGACCTGCTAAGACAAACACCAGAGCGACGGGGAACAGAGTCCTGAAAAGAATAACTTGTGAGTACACAGCCTGCTTCAGCCTCCTTTACAGCTCTCATGTCTACTGGAACAAATCAGAAGTATTGATTTGCAATTGATAAACAGTAGTGATTTTTTTTCGTATTTTGACAAATGACTGTATTCACTTGAGAAAATATATGAAATGTCAAACTAGCAAATAGCAAATAGTACTTAAGTAGTAGTTACTATTATTCTTTCATAATAAAAATAAAACAAAAATGTTGATTTTTTTAAGACAGACATTTTCAAAAACTTTGCATTCTTATATTGCGTACATATTTTACCCTGAATGCAGAAGTTTTAATGGTAAACTCAAATTGATGGCAAGCTTGTTTTGCACATCTAAAGCTTATTTATCCACAGCCTCAAAACCAAAGCTTAAAATAAAACATGAAATTACATTTAAAGTGCAAGAACAGCTGACTTTAAACTGACCTGTTTAAGGTTTGAAGAAGTACAGCAGCTCATGTGAGTTTCTATTTCACTCTGCTGACTGCCCCATGGTTTGGTGGGTTACCTTTTCTGGTGCTTCTCTCGTCCACATTTTTCTTAGACTTTGTTATTGTGGGGTTTCCCCAATGAATTCCCTAAAGCTAAACTTTATTTTTCTTACTCTGTAGGAATAGTTTTTGTTTCCTGTGCAGTCGAAGGAGGAAAGTGTGTGAGTGAGTGAGCTGATGTGAACTGAATAGTATGGATCAATATAAGGACAGAAAAGATGGACTCCTTCCCACTGAAGTCACTCTGCAAGGGGAACTTGAGAGTCAGAGGTTAGATTACCATCTCTGACTGACCAGGACTCTTATCCATCTTAGAGTACAGCACTCACATCACCAAACTGTTTTTATTTTTACAGAAAACCACCTGAGCCTGAGCCCAGCTGTGTGTCCGCCAAGACTACTGGGTCAAAGGACAACCCATTTAGCAACTTTAAAGCCCATTTCGCTTTGAGGCATGAGTAAGTTCACATTTTACTGATCAGACTAATTTTACTATGTAACTAACTTAGTGGAAATGCCAAAGTAAATTCACGATGAATTCAATTTTAGGATTCGAGAAAGATCATATACTACTGAATCCGGACCTAATCGTCTGTCTTTCAAGAGCAGCTGGTCAAACGATCATCCACTGGTCAATTTTCAGAGACAATCTGCCTCTAAATCAGAGTAAGTCAATATATCTTACTCTGACAACATGACTTTTTTCTATACATGACTGAAAATCACTGTTTCTCATGCAAAAAGTTCAACTGCAGATCACTTAAAACTCTTAGTTGTGTCTTAAATAAAATGAACCCACATTGTCAGTGGTGTGAAAAAAGGGTACACCAAATGTTTATTTTCTTTAACTGCTACACACACTGACCATAAATCCATATTATCAAACATTCCTGATCAGATCAGTGATAAATATCTAAAATTTTGAGGTGTAAAGAGTGATAACTAAATCCTTTGAAGATCTGACTGAAAGCTATTTTTGTGATTGCTTTGATTTATAAGAGTGGACCAACAGTCCTCAGACATCCCCAATGATCAGTCAAACAAGCATGACCAAACACAGCTGGACTCCATATTTATGGTCAGTATATGTAACTAGCCACTGTCAGTCTGTCCAGCACAGATCTACTGATAGGTTCTACAATCAGTCTGATGTGTGATATTGTTCTGTTCCAGTTACTTGAGGACCACATTGTCACTTTTGTGAAGAAGGAGCTGCAAAAAATCCAGAAAGTTTTGAGTTCAGATGACCCAGTGAGTCAGACTGATGGTGAGGAGAGCCCGGAGGATGAAGATGAAGAGCAGAGAAGGAGCAGTACAGAAGCATTTGAGGAGATCACATTGTACTTCCTAAGGAGAATGAAGCAAGATAATTTGGCCAACTGTCTACAGAGCAGTAAGAACATTTGTTTTGCTAATTAGATGCTTTCCTCATGTATGAAAAGGTTTTTCAGTAATTCAAAGATGCTTCCTGGTAAATCAAAGGTTTCTTTACTGAATGTTGTTTTTGTCTTCATTAAGAACTTTTTGCTGCACTTTGTCATCAAACGCTTAAATCTGGTTTGAAGAAGAAGTTCCAGTGTGTGTTTGAGGGAATCGCTAAAGCAGGAAGTCCAGCCCTCCTGAACCAGATCTACACAGAGCTCTACATCACAGTGGGAGGAACTGGAGAGGTCAACCAGGAACATGAGGTCAGACAGATTGAAACAGCTTCTAGATCAACAGACAGACCAGAAACAGCAATCAGAAGAGAAGACATCTTTAAAGTCCCATCAGGAAGTGATCAACCAATCAGAACAGTGATGACAAAGGGAGTGGGTGGCATTGGGAAAACACTGTTAACACAGAAGTTCACTTTGGACTGGGCTGAAGACAAAGTCCACCAGAACATCCAGTTCATATTTTCTTTTAATTTTAGAGAACTGAATTTGCTGAAAGAGAAAAAGTTCAGCTTGGTGGAACTGATTCATCACTTCTTTACTGAAACCAAAGGAATCAGTAACTTTGAACAGTTCCAGGTTCTGTTCATCTTTGATGGCCTGGATGAGAGTCGACTTCCTCTGGACTTCAACAACAAGGAGATCCTGACTGATGCTACAGAGTCCAGCTCAGTGGATGTTCTGCTGACAAACCTCATCAGGGGGAAACTGCTTCCCTCTGCTCTCCTCTGGATAACCACACGACCTGCAGCAGCCAATCAGATCCCTGCTGAGTGTGTTGGCATGGTTACAGAGGTCAGAGGGTTCACTGACCCACAGAAGGAGGAGTACTTCAGGAAGAGATTCAGAGATGAGGCGCAGGCCAACGTCATAATTTCCAATATCAAGACATCACGAAGCCTCCATATCATGTGTCACATCCCAGTCTTCTGTTGGATCACTGCTACAGTTCTGGAGGATGTATTGAAACCACAAAATGGAAAAAAGCTTCCTAAGACCCTGACTGAGATGTACATCCACTTTGTGGAAGTTCAGGCTAAAGTGAAGAAGGTCAAGTATGATGGAGGATCTGAAACAGATCCACACTGGAGTCCAGAGAGCAGGAAGATGATTGAGTCTCTGGGAAAACTGGCTTTTGATCAGCTGCAGAAAGGAAACCTGATCTTCTATGAATCAGACCTGACAGAGTGTGGCATCGATATCAGAGCAGCCTCAGTGTACTCAGGAGTGTTCACACAGATCTTTAGAGAGGAGAGAGGGCTGTACCAGGACAAGGTGTTCTGCTTCGTCCATCTGAGTGTTCAGGAGTTTCTGGCTGCTCTTCATGTCCATATATCATTTGTTAAGCATGGTGTTAACCTGCTGGAAGATAAACACAATTCACTTAATTGGTCTTCACTTTTTAAACATCCAAAGCAACAACATTTGCATCAGATCGCTGTGGACAAGGCTTTAGAAAGTCCAAATGGTCACCTGGACTTATTCCTCCGTTTTCTCCTGGGTCTTTCACTGCAGACCAACCAGACTCTCCTACGAGGCCTGCTGACTCAGACAGGAAGCAGCTCACATGCCAATCAGAAAACAATTCAGTACATTAAAGACAAAATCAATGACAATCAGTCCGTAGAGAAAAGCATCAATCTGTTCCACTGTCTGAATGAACTGAATGATCGTTCTCTAGTGGAGGAGATCCAACAGTCTCTGAGTTCAGGACGTCTCTCCACTGATAAACTGTCTTCTGCTCAGTGGTCAGCTCTGGTCTTCATCTTACTGTCATCAGAAAAAGATCTGGATGTGTTTGACCTGAAGAAGTACTCTGCTTCTGAGGAGGCTCTTCTGAGATTGTTGCCGGTGGTCAGAGCCTCCAAAAAAGCTCTGTAAGTACTGACATTCACTGGATTAGGCAACAGTTTTATCAAGCAGCTAGTAGCGGTGGTGACACAATTAACTAAAACGTTAGTTGTGGTAACAACTAGGGTACCAATCAGAAACATTAGTTCTGGTAATGCTAAAGCAGTGTGGTATGTAGCAGAGGCCAATACTAAAGTGCTAAAGCTGAAA